AAGGCCCATGACACAACAGAACCATAATGGCAGTACATGTTCTCCTTGGATCCAAAGTGTCATTGCTGGTGTCACAACCAGAGGTTAGTAACCTGTTCATATTTAATTACTAGAACACTTTGGCAAGACCCGAGTTGGATAGTTAAACCCTGTGTTTTTCCCAGCCAGAATCCCAAAACTAAGTTTTCTCACACTAAGTAACTGACAACTTCATAAGGCTGTTGCAGGACTGTTTGCATTAGAAACTATTTTGTTTTAAAATGGAAGCTCTTTCCTGGGAAGACAACTGCAGAAAAATCGTCCTCCCGTGAGCGCACGGGGCTAACATCACCATTACATACGCTTCTAGCTAATGTAGCTGTTACGTAAGAAACCAGCCACCCCTGCGTAGGATCCCAGACCTGTTCTCTGACACATCGCATAAAGCTTACAAGTGAGGCTGATGATGCAAGTCTCTGGGCTATACAACTTCTTACACAGTTAAATCCACTAACACCTTCTTCTCCTTCCTGATTACAACTAGGGACGCGGCGCATACTCTGCCCCAGCAAAATCTGTGCTGCTAAAAGCAACAAAGCACTTGGGATACCTTGACATTTACCAAATAACTCACTCGGGATTCTTTATCAGTTTGCCTGGCTTGTACACTCAAAAAAAAAAAACCCACCAGACTACGAAACAGAGCAGTCGGTATCCTGCCTAGCAGTGCAGAGTGTAGTGTACATGCCCTCCCTCACAAGGTACACAGGAAAAGCAATGGGGAAAAAAAAATTAAAAAATAAAAATCACATGTCCCATTCCAAGAGGAGAAATAGTTTAATTCCTAATCCAAATGTCACCAGTCAGCTGATCAGCAGCTGGCACTGGCAGAAGCTAGAAGGCAATAACTAACAAAATACACTTCAAAGGGATGTCTTGAACCCAACCGCACTACAACTGGGTTGAGGATCAAATTTACCTCAGATAGGGTTTGTTTTAAAGCAAAGTAATTTCAGGAGAAGCTCACATGTACTTTTAGTGACTGCGGGTTACGTTGCTGCACGCTCCAAGGAAAGGAAGCGCTGGGGGCAAGCCAGGCAGGGGTCGGCAGAAGTCCTCTGCAATTAGCCCAACCACACGTTAGGCAGCTCAGGGGACCACCTGCCCCCACCGGGCACAGGCTGCACATTCACAGCCTTAGGAAGCTCTTCCTACACGTGCTGGCCTGCAGATCCACTAAAGAAAATCACAACTAAACCTTCCCACAAGGCCCATCTTTCCAAAACAGAGTAAAAAAATATAGCTGGCAAGTTTAGGCTGACTTTGCATTGGTTTATAATGTCTACCATTAAATGCTTTGAAATACACATTAGCTAGCAGCACACAGAGGCATGTATCTGAAAAAAATTCAGTGAAATATCTCACAGTTAAACCTGAACACCCTAACCTACACATTTTAAGGGGGAAAGACTGCAAGTAGCACCTTCAGAAAAATACTGCTACTTGAAAAAGTAATTCTTCACAGACATGTATCTTCTGCTATAAGTAGACCAAGACAAACAAAATCCCAGCTCAAACAGCCCCTCCATCAACGCTTCCATACCTTGGGTCAATTCAGCACTCTTACCGTACTGCAAGTACAGAGTAACACAAACCAGCCCCTGAAACCTGGACACTGGAGCAATCCCCACCTTGTTTGTTTTAGCACAGAGAAGTACATGCCACACATGCACATTTCACAAACTCCTTAACAGATTTCTCATTTCTGGCAACATCCTTATCAATCTGCAGCTCTGGCCCTCAGCAGAGACACCGTCCTCCTTACAGCTTTTGGGGTGGTTTGTTGGTTTTGGGGTGTTTTAGTTTTTTCCCCCTCTCTACACACAGGCAGAAAACAAAAAGCAGCAACCAATCTGATCACACTGTTTAGGTTTCTTTTCATAAACAAAACAGTAAGATAGTAGCCTGACTCACCCACACACTCAAATGCCTGCCGGGCATTCACCTCAGCTCTGTGAAACACCAGTCACCTCAAAGTCAGCAACAACCCCCTCAGCCCAGACCGGATGATGCCATCGGCTTTAACCCGGCCTTGCAAAACGCCAAGGCCAGCAGTGCTGACCTCCCACAGCAGTTAATCCTCATGCAAACTTTGAGGGGAATTTTTCAAGAGATTTTTCATCCTATTATATGGATTAGAGCAATACGACTACGAAGACTCAACTAAGAATCACCTATTGCAATATACTCTTTGTAAAAAAAAAAAATAAAATACTGATTCACCGGTATTAGAACATCACAAACCACTGAAATTCCTTCTATGTTACTCCCATCTACTTCCTTCCAAAAGGAAGGAATGTTCCTCCCCGCCCAGGAAAGCGAGTATCCAGACACAACTATTTTTAAGGGGGTGGGGGGTGTACCCAACCACAGTGGATATTTTGGGGGATCTACGCAAGAGCCTGTGAGCACGTGGAGACATCTGCCATCTGGCACTTCACAGAGCCTGCATTAAGGACTCCCACCCCGGGCCAGGGAGCAGTCATCTTCAGCAGGGTTGCTCAGCAGAATCGAGGGTGACCAGTCACAGCTTTGACAGATAAGAGGTAAATCCCAACACTTTAATGCCAAAAGTTCTGGTCCAACCAGTTCCTCAGGCTCACAACTCAAATCTCCCCCACACCATCCATCATAATCTCAGAAACTCTTTCTTTTAAGCCACTTTTATTTTCTAGGCTTCACACGCTGCACCAAAACACAGGCCTCTCCTCTTCCTTCTAAAGCGACGGGGATGAGAGATGTTTCTTTCCCAGACAGGATACTCCTCCTACAAAGTGCTTCCCAGGGGACTTTTCCTTTTAGCAGAAATAGCCAAGACTTCACAAGTCGCCTTTTCAACACTGCTGAACCACTAAAATTCACTGCAGATACAAAGAGGTTTTCCAGCTGAAGATTCAGATGTCAGTAGTGCAGGGACCAGGTTGCCAGAGAGCTGCCCAGGTCTTCAGCTGAGTCAGTGAAAAAATGCTGTTCACCAGCACTTGGGGAGCTCACGCAGCTACACCAAAAGGCCACAGGCATGCCAAGCTGCAACACTTCTGACCCACGCAGACTCCCCAGATGACCTACCTTTCCTATAACGCAAATCACATTTTCACCCCTCTGTTCCCACCAAAAGGCAACAACCTGCAAACCTACAAGCCACCCTGCTCCTGTCCCTGAAGGCTTCACTCCCCACACAGCAGGATTTTGGGACTGCCCACACCAGGAGTCTAACTAAGTGTGAGGAAAACACCCGCGTAGCACACTTCACCCAAAGAACTTCCTTCGCCTTACAGCGTGGGCAGGAAGAGAACATAGCACCTATTTTACAGGCCTGCTGCACCTCGCCTGGCCTGGGCGTGCAGATCTCAGCGTTGCAGCCAACACTAGGCCATGCTCCATCCCAGAGGCTAATCAAGAAACCAGGAGTCACAGGGAAAAGCCCTCCCAAGCAGCAGTTCCTCCAGGACAGCGAGGGATGGAAGAGAGACACTTCTCCGACACAATCTGTGCCACCACCTTGCACCCTTGGTGGCTGTAGCCTCGGCCTGCTGAGGGGGAGAGAGCCCAGTGACACGCAGGCATCGCTTCCTGGTGCTGTCAGCACCGGGGCAGAACCTGCCAACAGATTATTCATCAGCAAAAAAAGCCTCTGTTTTCCTAGTTACCAGGATGAGGCCAGTCTGTGTTAAAAAAAAAAATTAAAAAAAAAAAAAAAAAAAAAAAAGAAAAGAAAAAGACTGACAGCTTCTCAGGTTTAGCTCCTACAGTTCCTAAGGTCTGAGGGCCAAAACGGGCCTTGGAAATATCAGCCAAGGCAAACCTATACTGCAAATTTCAAGTCAGGAAAAAAACCCACATTATAGTTACTAACTGAAGGGCTGGTTTTGGGGCTCCTCTCAGCTCAGCATGCAGCAGAACATATCGGAAACCATATCTGAAAGATGGTCACAGATCTATTTTCTTGTACACTGTGGTGACTTTTTACAAACCTGAACACACAGCGTACACAGAGTCCCTTTTCCATTTTAGGGTTCTTCCTGTAAAAGCCAACACAGGTCCTCCCACTCAGCTCTCACACAGCAGCTACCCTCTCCTTCGCAATTACAAGATCAAAACAAAACACTGTTTTGACTGAAATTGCAAAGGAGGAGATGGACCAGAAGCAGGTCTAAGGAGGCCAACATCTCTCTGAAGGTCGAGGCTAAGGTTACCAGAGCCATTCATAAGGTTCCTTATAGCCCAAACAAATGAAATGTAAAATGATAGTTAAAGAAGTACTTCTGGTTACAATTAAAAAAATACCATCAGCAGCTTGCTGCACTGCAAGGACTGTATACATAAAGAGTTTTATAATCCCTACTGTTCCTTTTTAGTTCTTTGTTTTGAAAAAAAATGCAATTGGGATTACTGCTTCCCCTGCAGAAACCCCACACAAACAGAAATCCCTCATCCCAGATCACAGCTACCTCTACTCAGCCCATCAATGTGCATATTATATCCATAAGGAATTCTGTATTATTCCTCTTTGCTTAAGGTAGGAGAGGAGGCAACCAGCTGAAGAAAGTTAAAGAGTGAAGGCCACTGCTTGTTATTTACAGCAACTTGTTCTGCACCAAAACGTTTGACAATTTTGCGTTTGGGTTTTTTGTAAACAAGCTCCCAGTTTAGGTAAAGTGGGAAACAATTAACTTCTGAAATACCCTCAGTTTCTGAAGCATATAAAAAAAAAATCAAAACCAAACCAAATCCAACAAACCTACACTGGGATTACCCATGGGAAGACCAGAAATGTCAGCTTGCAGATGCCACTGGGTTGCAAGTCTGTCAAGGACAATGAAATATTAGGGGAGAGGGATAGAGGGGGAGGTGGAGTGCACGGGAAAGGCCAAAGCCTCCCTTCCCAGCTTTGTGAGGGAAAAGGGGGAGGGAAAGAAGCAAAGGCAGGGCGCTCTGCAAAAGGCACAGGGGGGTCTTACCTTCCGCCAGCACCTCGTCCACCGTCACCTGGTGCCGGCCGATGCTGAACACCCTCCCGATGTACCCGCTGCCCGGGCCACCGCTGCCG